ACATGGCTTCCAGGGCCCACTGGCTCTACAAGTGTTCCAACCCCCCACATCCATACTGTGAATCCCAGAGGAAGAAGTTCAAGTCTCTGTCTTCCCTCTTTTTAAATTTCCCATTGGAGACTTCTGCACACTCCAAAAGGGTCTAGCTGCCCAGCCAATCCTGTCCTTTTCTCAGGCTAGATTGATAGGTCAGCACCTCCCCCTGCTGCCATGTTGACTTTTATGGTACAAGTGTCGCTGTGTCCTATGGTTTCCCCTGCAATCAGGAACCAGAAGGGGGTAGGAGGGCTATTCTCTTTGTTCATCACTCTCTAGCCTTGTGAAAACTGCACAGTGACTTTCTCCTGCCCTGTCTCTGCCAGAGGGCAGGGAATCTGTTGTTATGTGCTGTGCTAGCTCGATTACTGGGGCAACATGGTGCTGCTTTGCTGCCTCGGGCACTTTCTATGGCCCCTCCCTCACCCCCAGCATCCGGCCAGTCTGTCTGGCTAGGTCTGCCTGTATCATAATGACTTAATGCAGCTATTGTCTTATGGTGGCCTTTACTTGATCCAGTGCAGATGGTTGTGGGACTGTCCTTAGTACACAGAGAAATTAGTTGTTGACCAGTGAAAACAGAGGTAGTGGCATCTTGAGTTATTTTCTTTTTTCCTCTGTAATTTTTATTTTATTTTTAAATTCTTACCCAAACATACATTCATTGATTTGAGAGAGAGGGAAACATTGATGTGAGAGAGAAACATCAATCCTGTACATGCCCAGACAGGCATGTACCTAGGCCTGTAACCTAGGTATGTGCCCTGACTGTGAATTGACCCTGCAAACATTTTGATGCACGGGACAGTGCTCCAACCCACTGAGCTACCTGACCAGGGTTTGAGTTTATTTTCAAATTGCATTAAGAAAACTGGGTTCTGAGATGGGTGGCCAAGAAGGCTTGCCTTACTTGGCCTGGGCTGGATTGACAAGTCCAGACTTGAAAACACACCTTGCCCAGCCTGGGGTTTGGCGTACCTGCTGCATGCTGGCCTGCCTCAACAGCCAACCTGCTTGTGCACCTATGGTGCTTTTCTCAGGTGAACGATTTTCAGTGCTTCTACCTGCTAGAGAGAATTTTGCCCAGAATAAATGTAGTGAAGAGTTCTTGAATCTCCTATACAGGAGGACTGGATCACTGAAATGTCTCCAGAAAGCCTTTGTAAATTATAAGGTGACAATTATTGATAACTGAATAATGCTTATATCTAGCCTGTTTTAGATCAAATTATTGCTATGCTTGTATTTTTTAATGGGCTGGAAGTTTGCTTTGGGACTCCACATATAATCGAATACAGTGAGAAAATGTTCCAAGTTTTAGTACGTAAAACTTACAGATTCACAGTTATGTCTTTGCTTATGGCTTTTCAGTTATGTTAATATAGTTTTCATGCTGAAACCTAAGGAACAAATCTTTATATATATAATCCTAATTCCAGTGAAAATGTACTGTACTGCAGTGAATCATCTGTTATGTAATGTGATTTCAGTTTCATGGGGATTTCTTTTTTGTTAATGTTAACCTTATATTACACAAATAAGAGTATTCCATAATGTTTGAGATGTACTTTATAAAAAGGGTTTTATAGAAAATTCTGATTTTGGGGGGGGAAAAAAAACAGTCCACCTAAGTAAACATTTTGCTTTAAATACATTTAAGGCAAATACATAAGTTGTATTTCAAACACATTAATAGAATTTGCTTGGCTGTTCTTAGTTTGAATTAGTTTGTTCTAGTTCAGGATCTCTGACCTTCTTGGAATATTTAAAATTGCCCATAAAAGTATTAGACCTTTGATTAGAAATTTAAAATCATGCCTTGAATTTCATGCCCATATTGAAGATGCTACTCTGAGGTGAAACTGGACTGTATTTCTGATATAGTCTTGGGTCAGCCTGCACCAGCTTCCTTTTTGGGTTTTTGTTTGTACTCTGGACTGCAGCTTTAAAATAGTCAGGTGAATTCAGGGTAGTGTTTTAAGCCCCATGAGGCCAAATGGTTTGAATTTACATAGTATCTATTTAAAACTGTCAATTTCTGTTTTTTTCTCAGGCAAACTATAATGAAGCGAACTCTGTGGTTATTAATGTTACGAAGGCCCCTTCCCCTGCTCTTCTTCCTTCTCCTTGTTCAACTTAACTCTCATCTTAAGATTTTCTCTTTTTATTGCTGGATTCTTTGTTCTAAGGAAGAAGCGTATTTTCTGTCTCTAGTGTTCTGCTCAGAAACTTTATGCCCTGCTTCTACATTGCATGTCACCTGAGAGATGGCATAACACAGAAGATAGCAAAGCTGTTCGCTTCAGCTCTGTCTTTTGGGGAAGATGAAAACAATTTTTGGCAAACAGATCTCAGGATGGCTTGATATTTTCCAAATGGGTTAGTATAACCCAGGGACCTTACTTGAGTTCTGGTTATGACATCTTTACTGTCAAATTTTCCTTGGGGTATAGCTTCTGAGAGTTTTACTTCTTAAAATTGAGGGCTTTTATAGATTTTATTAATCAGATATTGATCGTACTGTACCATCTGTGTACATATGAATATTTTCTAGTAAGCCACCAAGAACCTTCTCTTTTCTCAGATTAATATTCTGTGACAAATGCTGCTTGGTGGGGAAGAGATTTTTCAATTTTAAATTGCATCCTTTATTGTGTTAATTTCCCTCAGGACGGAAGCCTAATGCTAAAAAAGGAGACGAAGTTCTTTCAAATAAAAATAGTACCAATTGAAAACATATTGGAAGAAAATATAGTTACTCCAAGAAAAGCTTTATGCAAATGACTTAAAGGTTATAAGACTAAAGTTCATTTTTCTAAAACCAGTAGCTACCATTTAAGCTTAGTGTTAATAAACTGCTTTAGGGTAAGGATAATGTCTGAACCATAGATTTTTATCTCCCATTGGCATAGCGTCTGCAGATAGACAACACATAAAAAATGTTTATAGAATAAAAATGTTAGTTGAAGATGTGCACATTTTGCTGTTTTTTCCCTCATTCAAGTCGTATTTTTTCCCATTTGGATCTTCTGTGTCTGAAATGCCAGGAATTCTTCTCTGTCCGTTCTTCTTAGTTCTTTTAATTACTGCTTGATCTTGCAGAACCCGAGTTTTAAAGAGCTAGCTAAAAATAGACTTGTCACTGTAAGCACCTCCTCACATCTGCTTTTTTTCTGGGTCCCTGCAAGGTTGACCAGCTTTTTTTTTTTTGGAGTTGCACATCAAAAACAGTTGGAGGAAAAACAGCATCTGTTTAGTCAACATTTCCAGTGTTAGAAGACAATGTTGGATTTTAAACTTTCTTTTTTTTAACCAAATGTGTGCTTTCAGAGCAGTGGAGATTGTCGAATGTGGGGAGGGGTAGGTATCGAGGTTGATTGGGTCCTGATGAGCTTCCTCTGTGGTCTTTTGCACCCTAGACAGTGTTCACAAAGAGGCACAGCATCCTCTGGGCCAGCCTGCATGGCTCATTATTTTATGTATTGAATTGTTGGGCTTTCCAATGCCGGAGGTACACGGGGCATTAGCGGGTGGAGAGTCCAGAGTCAACCCCTCTTAGGTTTGCCCAGATCCTAGTGGGAGAACGCAGGTTTGGGGTTCAGAGCAGGGTTTGGGTGCCAGTTTCTGCTGAGTTGCCCTCGTGCAGTAACCTGTTCTGTGACATAAAATGGGGCAGTCGTGCCTGCCTAATGCATGGTACACAGTGTCTGCCCGAAGAAATGGGCTGTGCTGCACTGGATGTGCTTTATTGTTTTTAATAGGCTTTATTTCATCTTTCCTTGGTTCTGAAAATACTAGACTCTGTGGGTATTGTTTCTTTCAGTCCCTACTGTGATCGGCAAAACTCCCCAGTTGAGACTATTGGAAACTGTGCATCCTTATTAATGAGAACCCCACCTGTTGTGTGCCCACTGGACTTTTGTTATTCCTTTTTGATTTCAAAGGTTGGAGTAAATTATTTTTTTTTGAATATTCTCTTCCAATGGCACCATAACCTTTTAAGTGCGTAAATAAGACGCTTTTCCCCTTGGTTTTTAGGGAAGACGGTAGGAGGTGTGATGTACAATCTCATTATAGAAAGATAATGAGTTGTACTTATTTTTGCCAAAGCATGCTTACTAGCACATTGGGAAATAGCATTCAGAATAATTAAGCATGTATGTTTTGTGATTGTAGCATCTCTTCCCACTCTACACACATTACCATGTTTTGCCGTTTATAATGCGCACTTTTTTGCCCATATATTTTAGGGAAAAATAAGAATGCATATTATAAATGGGAAGTGCTAATTCCATGTCTATATAAATTGTTTTATTTATGTTTATGTGTTAAAAGTGTAATAACTCTAGAAAGCAACAATGATCTCTGTGTGCAAAATAACCTGGAATATGATCATTGATTTTGTTTCTAAATATAAGTAAATAAAATAAATTAAATTAAAAAACTAAAATAATTTTTTCCTGAAAGTTTGGGCCAAAAACATGGGTGTGCATTATACACAGCAAAGTCACTATGTATAAACCTGAGAAAACTAATCCATTTAATAAAAACTGACAGTACAAAATTTCTTTTATAATTTACTTTTATTCCTATGGTTGTATGTTAAAAAATAAGTTTCCTTCCTTGCCTCATTTCCTAGCCTCCCAATTCCTCTCTACAGAGTTAATCACTTAATGTTCATAAGAACTGAAATCTGTTTTTAATCATGGTTTGATGCTCACACATATTTGCCCTGTCATTTCTTGGTCTTTGGCTGTGATCAAGTACCTGTGTGTGTGCGCAGTGTAACTGTTGGTTGTAAGTTAAGCGACCAGTGAGAAACAGGTTACTAGGAACACATATGAATGGATGTGCATAAACGAGTAACGTAACTTTTGCAATGATGTCTCTTACTCAGTGAAAGCAGCTTTTGAAGCCACTTTTAGTATCTTGATTTCCACAGCTGTGTCTTCTTTGCCTTCCAGTTGCAGCATGAGAAAGCTGAGTTAGAACAGCACCTCGAGCAGGAGCAGGAATTCCAGGTCAACAAACTGATGAAGAAAATTAAAAAACTGGAGAATGATACCATTTCTAAGCAGCTGACATTAGAGCAGGTAAGAATCTGAAGCTCTCTGCACATTTTTTTTCTCATTTAATCAACTGTTCTTTTAAGCTTTAAGATGCCCTGAGGAATATAAATGAAAAATACCTTTCAGCTCTTTGTTGCTGCAGCGGAGACTTCATTTCTGAAGTCAGCACTGAGGGTCTGTGTAGCACCTGCTCACTCTCTCACGCACTTTCTCTTTTTCTAACCGCAGTTAATAAACTTTCAGGAGATATGTTGTGTTGTACTGATTTATAGACAGGAAATGTTAGGTTCCTTTTTGCAAAGGGGGAAGAATGTGTTTTTAACCACAGGATAGTTTGTGTGAAAGTTCCTGAGACAGTGTGGCTGTGGAACTAAAACTTCTATTTCAAGAGTTCTTCAGAACAAACATTAGCATTTCTTATTTGTATTTATTAGCAACCTTTTATGAAACCTGTCTTCTCCTCACTAGATTTGTGGATTCAGATATGGAGTCAGAGACTTGGTTGCACCCCCAGTTCAACCACTAACTAGTTGTATAACCTTGAATTAACTTCTTTGGGCCCAAGTTTTCCGTTTATAGACAGAGAAAGACCAACTGAAATTAGGAGTGTAAGCTTAAACATGTACAAAGGGTAGCAAGTAACAGTGCATAATCCCTTTGTCTATTGCCCTCGGTAGACATTAGCATTTGGTCACAGTCCTTGCCTGTGGGCGTCTGGATAGGTCCTTGGACTCCGATGCACAGAAGTGTAGGCAGCTGTTATTGGTCCACCGAGGCTGGTGTGCCAGACAGAGTCACCTGTTATTTCCTGGCTTAGATCCGCTCTTACTGCTTTCCCCCCACTCTAGTGTCCTGAAATTTTACTTCCCCTGAGACACATAAGAGGCTGACCATGGTGTACTATTACCTGGTTTCCATGAAAGTTCAGTATGTTGATTAACATCTTCCAGCTCTTAACAATTTGGATCGCTATTGCCATTTTGATGATTTGGCTAACCCTTCCATGCTAAGTTGTCTGACTTATCCTGATGTTGGGATCTTTCTGTGTATCCATGCTGACAGGTTCTTAAATCACCCTCCCACTCCAGCCTCGTCATTATGCCTGAGAATGAGTGGTGATGGGAGTGCGAGGTTTGAGAAGAAGTCAGGATTTGTTTGAAACTTAGCTGATTTTTTGTGTTATTCTTGTACCTACTGGTATGGCAAAGGGAGGAATGTTAGTGGGTTTTCCAAGACTATGAATAATGGCCTTAAAATTTTTTTCTAGCCCTTTCAGATAAAAGAAAAAAAAGTTCCATTCCCAGGGGTTGACTATTTTATACATATTCAGAGTAATCTATTTTTACCATTTATCTTTAGAATTTGGGCACAATATCTAAATTTAGAAGGCTCCTCCTCCCTATAGAGTTTAAAAGCATTTTGTTCCGAAGTTCACCTGTTTAATTCCCAGGATAGGCAATAGCCAGTCAGTTCTGTTCAAGTTAAGACTTCGAGGAGTCCCGTTCAGGTATCTGATACACCAAGTACTTGTTAGTGGTACTTGTTAATAAAGACTTAACCAAGTGAAATTCTCCCAGTAGTTGGTATTGTGAGAACTTCACTTGGCCATGGCCTTCACAGTGATGGTGGTCAATAATGTAAACAGCTTCGCTCTTGTTCACAGGCTCCAAAGGAGATCTTGGGAATAGGGCTATAAGCCCCAGCATTTTGCTGTGACCACCAGGGGGAGGTAGAGGCCTAGTGTCAAAGAAACGCAGTCAGGCCCCTAAGAGGGTGGTTTGCCTGCAGCCCCTTAAGACTCTTTGGTGACCTCAGTAACTGAACCCCTTTAAAATGAGGTCCAAAGTGCACTTTCTTCCTGATTTAATAACTTAGTACATTTTTAGACTTATTTCAGATCTCAACAGTAAAGAAATGAATTTCCACAATGGAATATGTGCTTTGCTAAGCCCTGTAGAAGAAATAAACCTCAGATCCAGGATATCAAGTCCCTATTTTAATCAAGGTGGAGAAATTTAACATCTCTGTAAAACATTTTCCCCTGTGCTTTGGATAGGTTGAGGATGATTAAACAAATACTGGGAAATTTACTCCCTATTTTGTTTCGCTATAAGTAATTTTAGTCATTGTTTAAGGGAAATGTTTATTTTTTTCCTCCAGCAGAAATAAATCTCTTTTTGGTTTCCATGGAAGTTCTCTGACCTTCTCTGTGGTCATCACTTAGAATTATCACCTGTAATATATTATATACTCTATGTCATAGTCTATATTGTATTATGTATTCTATACTACAGATTATTATCTGAAGAGTAAAGGCATGCACTATACTATGCTTTATAATGTATGTGTAGGACATGCTTTGCTTTTCTGACAACATTATAAGCTATTTGAAGGCAATTTTTCCATGTGTCTCATGCCCTACCAACTGCCTTGTTGGAAGAAGTGTGGATTTGGACAGGTGACTGGAGAGTGGTCATTTGTCATTTGGAAGGCGGTTCAGTGCACCATTCAGGACCTGGGCACAGAACTTGGGCACAGAACTTGTAAGGAACCAGATGTGAACCTGTTTCCTCTGCTTAATATCTTGGTTCACTTTTTATTTCTTTTGATAACAGTTTTATTGAGCTATAATTCACATACCATACAAATCACCCATTTAAAATTGTATAATCCAGTGGTTTTAGCATATTCAGAGTTGTGTAACCATCACCACATGTCAATTTTACAACGTTTTCATCACCTCACAAAGGAACTGTGTGCCCTTCAGCCGTCAACCCCCACCTGCCTTAAGCAAGAACTACTCTACTTTCTGTCTCTACATATTTGCCCATTATGTCGATACTTTCCATAAATAGAATCATATAGTATGTGGTCCTTTGTGACTGGATTATTTCACTTAGCATAATGTTTTTATTCATGATGCAGCATGTGTATGTAGCATACTTCATTCTTTTCCTGGCCAAATAATGTTCCACTGAATGGATATACCACATTTTGTTTATCCATTCATCATTTGATGGAAATTTGGGTGGTTTCAATCATTTGGTTATGATGAATACTTGTGCTATGAACATTCATGTACAGTTTTTTGTGTGGACATCTGATTTCCATTTTTCTTGGGTGCATACCTAGGAGTGGAATTGCTGGGTTACATGGTAACTCTGTGTTTAACTCTTTTGCAGACATTGCCACACTTTCCCAGAGTGGCTGCACTACACTGATTATAGCCATCCTGGTGAATGTGAAGTTGTATCTCCTTGTGGTTTTATAGTTCTTGATGGCTGATGATGTTCAGCATCTTTTTAGGTGATGATTAGCCATTTGTATATCTTCTTTGGAAAAGTGTCTATTCAAGGTCTTTTTATTATTGAATTGTAGAAGTTCCTTATATATTCTAGATACGAGTGTCTTATCAAATATATCACTCATAAATATTTACTTAGATTTTTTTTTACTTTCTTGATAATGTGCTTTGAAGCAATTTTTAATTTTGGTGAAATCCAGTTTATCTCTTCTTTTTTTGCTTTTGCTGTCCTTAGACTTCATTGCCAAATTGAAGGTCATGAAGATTTATCCCTGTGTTTTCTCAGAGTTTTATACTTTTTACTTCTACATTTAGGTGTTTGATCCATTTTGAGTTAACTTTTGGGTATGGTGTGAGATAGAGGTCCAAATTCATTGTTTTCTCTGTGGCTCAGTCCCATTGTCCCAGTCAGTTCACTTTGCAGCCTCAGTTTCCTTTCTGATAAAATGGCTGTGTTAGCAAACTTATGTTGGATACAGTGAATGGGGGAGAGCGTAAGGTGACTCACATAAGGTCTGCTTTGTAAGCACTCAGCATGAGGTGATTGCCGCTATTAATTTTAAAATAATCCATCTTTTGAACCTAAGGGGTTGTACCTGCTGTAGAGATACTGAAAGGTCTTCTACCAGGGGTTTGAGTTGGCCATAATACGTTTTAAAGATACAGCTTGGATTACAATGGTTTTTAAGTGGGCCCCTGCCCATTATCTGTAAAGGAGAACTTAACAGTGTTTGAGACTTAATGATGTTTTTCTTGGCCTTTTTTTCAAAATAGGCCCCAGTCAGCTCACATGCCAGAAGGCCCCCATTGTAAGTTTCTCTCCCCAAAAGTCTGGCCTTTGCTTGCACAGTTAATCAGTCAGATAGCATTTATTGTCCCCTTGTATCTAGAATCTGGGATCTTTTCATTCTTCAAATAGGGAATGTTACAGCTTGTTCATCACCCAGGTCTCTGTGCTGTTAATGGTTCTGTCTGTCCTTGTTGGTGTTCTGCAGTATGTGAATTCACAGGATTTCGGATCTGGAAGGCTGTGTTGGGGGAAGACTGTCTTTGTCCCCAGACTATAGTGGAGACATGAGACAATGGGGAAATGATGAGGAAATCCAGAGGCAAGGCATGAGATCTCCTCCCAGGATTTGGGACAACAGCCTCCTGCTCACCTTTTCTCTCTGCCCAGAACTTGCTGCAGAGGAGGGCATGGTGTGGCTTGCTGCTTGGTGACCGGCCAAGGTGGCTTGTAAGTGGCGTAACCTACCTATATTGCTTTTTCAGAAATGGAAGCCCAGATGGAGAACAAGAGGCTTTCCTCAAGTTAACACAGCTAAGGAGTATTTTTTGTTTGTTTGTTTGTTTGTTTGTATTTTTAATTAGAAAAAGAGAGAAAGAGGGTGGGGAAGGGATAGAGAGCAAAAGAGCGAGAGATTTGTTGTTCCACTTATTTATTATTCATTGGTTGATTCTTGTATGTGCCCTGAGTGGGGTATTGAACCCGCAACCTCGGTGTATCGGGACAACGCTCTAACCAACTGAATCACCCAGCCAGGAGGAGTTCTTAATTATTTATTTTAGTTACCCTTTTGGCATTTATTTAGCATTCTGAATGGTTAACTCCAAAAGACAATTTATGGGATGATGTAAAAAATCACATTCAGAATAATGTGAGATTACAAGGTCTTTGCAGCACTAATAGTATTAGTCTAATAAACTGGATTAGTCTAGT